GCCCCAGCGGCGCATGTTCAAGGACCACAGGTCGGTCATGCACGCCTGCTTGCGGGCGGGTGCGTGGGACAAGGCCCTGTCCGTCTGGTCTGACCTCAGGTCGATCGTGGAGGGCCCCATCCCCTGCGGCCGGACCTATACGGCAGCCCTGCGCGCCTGCGGGCCGTTAGGCCTCTGGGCTACGGCGCGAGACCTGCTGTCGGAGATGAGAGATGGCGCCGAGGGCGATGGGCTGCTGCTGCTGTTACCCGAGGCCCGCCACTACGCCTTTGCGGTGTCGGCAGCGACGGTGGCTGACGATATCTCCTCCGACGAGGAAGCAACGCTGAGCGGACGCGGCGGGTGGGGGGCCGGCGGATCGGATATTATGGTGGGTGGGGATGAGGGTAGCGGTAGTGCGGCGCTTCGGTCGGTGCTGTCCGACATGGCCGCCGCCGCCGGCGGCGGAGTAGAGATCGGGTGGGAGACGTACGCCGCGGTTTGCTGGGCGAGGAGCCAGCGGAAGCAGTGGCACAGGGCCTCCCTCGGGGTGCTGGAGCTCATGGGCGAGCACGGATTTGGGGACGGTGCTCTTGGCACAGAAGAAGCCGCCGAAGGCATGCGGAGCCTCTACGGCCGGCTGTTGGCCGCGGCGAGCAAGATCCCGAGCTTTGCGATGGGCGCGGGCGGGACGCAGTCGGCAGCGCCCGCGAGGAACGCGATTCGGCAGGTTCTCTCGGACGCCGAGGAGCGCCTGGCCTCCGTGCCTGGGGGTCCGGGGCCGCAGGTCCTCGCGGCCGCTGCTACCGCCTTCGCCCGCGCCGGCGACTGGGAAGGGGCTCGGGATATCGCTTTGCTGTTCGACCCACGGGTTGGTGGTCCTACCGCGGGGGGTACATCCAGCGGAACCGGGGAAACGTCGGCCGTTCGAAGTCGGAGAACCGCTGACGCGACGGCTGTTGTCAGTGTCGCGGTGGCTGCGACCGCCCGCGCCGGGGAGCTCGTTGAGGCGGAGGCGCTGGCGGAGCTGGCGAGGGTAATCGCCACCTCGCCAGAGGTAAGCGCCTTCAGTGGCGGGGGCGGTGCCACGGGAGGCGGCAGTAGAAGTCGCGGGCCAGACGGGGAAGAAGCGAGGGTCTCCTGTGGGACGGAACGGAGCAACAACCCGCTAGGCTTCGATCACAGCGCGGGCGTGGCCCTCGCCGACGCGTACGAGCGGGCCGGGCGGCTATCCGACGCAGAGGGCTTGCGCTCGCGGCTGCAGGGGCGGATGGCGAGCAGTCTCGGGCTGGAAGAAGCGGCCGGAGTCGAAGGAGGGGTTGCCGCCGCCGCCGCCGCCGCCGCCGCCGCCGTCCCCCGATTGCCGAGCGTAGGGGGGCCTAGCAGACGACGGCGCCCCCCGGCAGAGGGGGATGATTCGACGTGGCCCCCTGATGAGGAGGAAGGTGGCGACGACGAGCAGTACGATCTGTTTTTGCAGTGGATGGCGACTGGCGAGGGAGAGGAAGAGGAAGAGGGAGATACGTGGTTGGGTGACGATGATGAATTCGACGACGATGACGACGACGTGTTGGTAGCGGAGCCCCCGCACGAGTCCGACGAGGAGGGTTTGACGATCCGAGAGCTCGAAGGGTGGTGATTTTTTGGCTGGCTTTGTGTTGTTATGGCGATCTGTTTAGAGGCTGTAAAATCAGCCGTTGGACGGGGTAGGGTATGTACAGCGGGAGGTGGACCAGGGGGAGGCGGGGGTGATTTTTGTGTTTTTGCGGGTGCTTGTTCGCCGTTGGAGGTGTGGATAGTCGGTGTATCCTACATGAATGAACGAGCCTGGGAGCAAGATCCAGGGAAGAGGGTTGTTTATTCCGTAGGTTTGAATGGTGCGCTGCTCCTGTCTGTGATGATTCGACTGACCCATTTTTTTTCCGCAGCGAGGGAGGGGCTGAGCCATGCATTCAAGCTCTTTCGAGTATTTCATTCAGCCCACCGGGGTAAAGTTGATTGTTGGTTTCTGCGGAGGGGTTAGTATCGTGGGGTGTATAGTACTTGCCTTTTGGTGTGGTGGCTTGGGGCTGAACAAGGTTCTAGCCACTAGCTTTTGTCTTCTTGGTACTTGTGTGCAGGCACCAAGCAAGGCGAGCGAGCGGCGCTATTTATTTTGGGAGGTTGAAAGGACTTGGCGGCATATACATTTTTGCACTTTCTCAAGTGTTTTGAAGAACGTGACAGAGGAGAGGTGTTTGGTATTTAGCTGTTTGGTGTCCCGTAGCCGGCAAGACTAAGACAACAGTCACCGCGAGATGGAGTTCATCACGCGCTCCAGGAACGAAAAACGAAGCGTGCTGAATTCACTTCCTTGACCTGTCGGACATGGGTGCGTGCGTTTTCGTCTGAAGGGGCGCATCATCATTGGACGGCTGGAAGTTGCCCTAGGCACAAAAAACATAATTGTTGAGACCATGTCCCTAATTCGTTGTTATAATTGATGGTGATTTTGAGAAGATGGTATCGGGTGCGCTTCTTGATCGGGGATCGGAGAAAAGCACCATGTTCTAGTCTCGCTTTCCAAGACAACCCAACTCAATACAGCATCATCCTTTGTCGTCATCGTCATCATCCCGTCTCAGATCTCTCGTCTCTCGCCGGACGTTTTCTCTTGCCTCGGAGCACGATCTGAAAATTTTACCGAGCGCGTGGCGCGTGCCGGATTCACAGGGGTTGAAGCTCACCCGGTGTGTTCTCCGTTTAACGTCTCGCCACTTTGACGCAAAAGAAAGAAGATTGGTTCGACTTCTGGGCGCTTGACACGAAAGAAAGCAGATCGGTAACCCACTCATCATCCGTGTGACCCAGAAAGTCGTAGGCGACAAGAAGTGACGAAATATCGATGTGCTGGCTGGTGAGAGGTACGCATAAGACAGACAAGGCACGAAGCGAGACGTCGCAGAGACACGACAAAATCTTGGATGACTTCTTACCGCCGCTGACTACAGTACACCTGTGACCTGTCGCCCTTCTCTCATGAGCCCAGTACGTGGCCTCTCTACACCCGCATAGTTGGACTCCAAACAAGTGAACGAATGCCCCCGCCCCCGTCTGTGCCTATGCCTATCGCTCCGTCCCGGCGTTGTACTGTAGGATGCGAGGTCAATGTCTAACGACTACGGCATGGGCACTCATGTACACGCATGCGGTAGTCTGAAACAAACTGTCGTGTGATTTCGCCTCTCCAGTCCTCCGCCGATCAACTATCCCACACAAATCGCAAGCGAACGCATTCCATGTGACTTCCTCAACAAGGCCCGATCAACTATTCCACGGAAAGAAATAACCGAAATCATTTCGGCTCCTTGGAAGCCGCGGTCCGAGCCTTGACCCTCGGGTCGTTGAGAATCTCTTGCTTCCTTTCCTCCGTTACCGGCGGGGGAGGGTCCTGGACAATGGCGAACGGCGGCAGGGGCAGGCTTGCCCCTCCCGCGGAAGCCAGGGACCGGTCCTCGTCGAGAACCAGACCGCGGAACAGGGACGTGAAGTCTGGGGTTTTCCCGGTGGCGTCTTCCGCCTGCGGGGGGGAGGGGGGCGGGTACTCATAGTCGTGCATGCCGTAGTCGTTTGACCATTAACCTCGGCAGGGGGGAGGGGGTGATGTCGGAGTCACTACCATATGAGGGGGGATTTGTTGGGTTTGATGTTGTCGCGCGTAGAGAGCGACAGGATTGTGGGGGGAATGAAGCATAACAGCGAAAGCACCGGAGCGACGATAGGGACCAACACCGATGGCACGAGGAAAACTGAAACTTTGGTATAGTACTGCGACCCGAAACAGCAACTGAATTCTGCTCTACACAAACAAGCGCCAACGGCGACAGGGACAGGCACAAAACGCAACCACCAGCAGCAACGAGTACAATGACAAGCAGCGGCAAAAACAGCAACTCCAGCAGCAGCAGCAGCAGCAGCAGCAGCAGCAGGCAGCAGCTACAACAACAGCACCGAGAATTGGCCGAGCGATGCCGTCCATGGCCCACTCAAGCCGCCTGTCCCTGCAAGGTGAATACAACAACAGCAGCAGCAGCAGCAGCAGCAACAACAACAACAACAGCAGCAGCAGCAGCAGCAGCAGCAGCAGCAGCAGCAGCAGCAACAACAACAACAACAACAACAACAACAGCAACAACAACACATATACAACTCCCTCACCTCATCCCTGCGGAGCTCGAACGTCTTGCCCGCCGAGTAAGAGCTGCTCAACGCCGCCGCCACCGTAGTCCCAACCTCTTCCCTAGAAACTCTCCCCGACAGCGTGTCGCCCTGGCCCACCTGCAGCCGGACCGACTCATCTCCCTCTGTATTCCATACAATTCCAAAAACAAATGGAGGGTACTTTGACTAGTAAGAACATGATGTTCCTAGGGCGCGAGGAAGGAGATAGGAGAAAATACCGTAGATGACGTAAGATACCACACACCCAGGGCCGACTTTCAAAGCTCGATTTCTCCACAGCAGAAAGAGTGGCAGCGCCGAAAACGGTGGAGTTGAAGGCCGTCTCGTCGACAGCTTTCCGAAAACGGTGGAGTTGAAGGCCGTCTCGTCGACAGCTTTCCGAAAACGGTGGAGTTGAAAGCCGTCTCGTCGACAGCTTTCCGAAAACGTATCGTTTCATTTATGCATCCTCTTTGTCGCGGAGTAATCTAGCTAATAAAATTAGTCCCGGGGGTGTCATATCTTGTGTCACCTACCGTAACGCCATTCAATACATCCCAGCATCTGTCTTACAGAAGAAACAAAAGTTCGTCCAAATGCATAGACACATAGACACAACACAATTCCACAAATGCTTTTGCACCTTGAAAAACATCCCTCAGTCGTCAAAAACCCAAGTTAAGCAGACCAACAAAAACACAAACAGAACAATTTTCGGAAAAAGAGAAAAAAAAAACAGTCGGAAGTGAAGGAAATCGCACACCTTTTCCCTCGGCGATGAGTCCCGTCGCGCGCACAACGCAGTGCCGAAGCGACGATTTTCGGAGGCTGGTCTCCGCCTTGTACTTCCAATTGAGGATGCCCCCGGGGTTAAGGGCGACGATGGGGATGTCATTTTTGCGCTCCTCCTCGGTCAACCTGGCGACAGATGAAGGTTGAAAATAACCCCCAATATCGTTGAACATACTTTAGATTTCTCGGTACCACATACTGAGTGCGGGTTGCGAATGGTGGCCAAGAACAACTCCCGGTAGAAAAAAAGAAAAAAAACGGTGTGTTTCTTCTTCCCGTTCCTGCTGGCGCCAGTCCGCCCGCCTTTGGGTGAAGTGCGTGTGACGTATCAGCCGGGGCCACACTATGTCATGCAGGAACAAACAGCACCATCGACGACTTCTCGGGCACTGTTCTCTGGATACCACACACACAAGCCTCCGTCAGTGACTGTCAATACACAACATACCCTGCAAGACAACAAAACACCGAAACAAAACCTTCGAAGAAGCCCTGAAACCGACCAGGGATACGCGCAAAAGACGAGTGTGTTTTCTGAGTGGGGTGGTGTCCACGGCGAGGGTGGTCGGGAGAAAGCACACGTAACGCAACCAATAGCAACCGCAAGCAAAGCAAGGAAGACTTGTCTTGGACGACAAATCCGGGATTTAACCTCGAGGTCGATGGATAAAACTGGCCATGTTGTTCTCGTCCCCCCCCCTCTTCGCACGGACGCCTGAAATCTCTAGACTGTTGGAGGTTCGTGTATTTGTTCGCCCTGAGTGATTCCGCCGCTTTTTTCACGCAAAACGCCCCGATTATTCCAGCCCCAAACGCAAAAACAAAACAAAAAAAAAGGACCGAACGAGAGGGCGAGTAATCTTTGCCGCACCGGTGGTATCGCTCCGCGGAAGCAGAGGAGACGAGCACGAAGTTCGGCCTCGGCTTCTTGTACAAGCTTATCTCCATAAGGTCCAGCTGGAAGGCCCCTGCCGTGTACTTGGGGTTCGGGTACTGCTCTCGTGGAGAGGGGAATTGAGGGCCGGGGGAAAGGGGTCAACCGGTGGGTTGTAAGGGTTGTGCGTGTTCCGCTTTACATGATCGTCGGATTGTCAGCAAACAGTAGAGCCTTTCTTACTGCTGAACGTCGTTTTCATCAACCCATGGCTGCCTGTTGCTCATGCTCCAAGATAAAGAAAAACAAGAACTGTACTACACAAACGCAGCACAAGCACCAGAGCCTACCACCCCTTCCACCACCACCATCATCTCCACGAATAACAACAAGAAAAACAACAACAACAACAACACGACCACCTACCACCATAAAACGACACGGAACAGAAAACCGGCAACGAACACACCTCATTGAAACCGAACCGGCTGAGGACGAGCCCCAGGCTTAGCATCTTGCCGCCAGCAGGGCCTTCGTTCACCCGCGGGGCGTTGAAGTCCACGTAGTTACGCTTCACCGCGACGAAGCTCTCGAACGGAAGGTCCACCTGTTCGGCGGGATCAGAACCAGAGTCAGAGCCAGAACCATATTAGATCAAAACCAGATTCGGGCACGATTTCACGCGGTACGTCTGAGTATAATCTCTCGGCGCCCGGAAACACGATAAAACACGAAAGCAGCAAGCGCGGCATCCTGCCGGTTGCCTTCGCACTGGTGCACGTGGTTGCAACGATCGCTGTCGATGGCATTTAGCAGCAGCACATTCATGTGCGTTGGCTCTCAGCCCTGGTCTCGAGCTGTCGTAGCAAGCTAGTGGGCGGGGGGGGGGTCGGCTTGAGTGGTTTTGAATGCGAAGGGGGGCGTTTTCACCGTTCGCAATGGGGCTCGAAGCCCCTGACAAAATCATACACTACACAAACTAATCGCACACGCCGGGTGGGACGTCCTGTGTGCGAGGCAGGGTGGTATCCTTGAGCAAAACACCATCATCGCTGCCCGACATACCACCGCGTACGTAGTTCCGACTTAAAAACCTCATCGCTTTCCCTCGACTCCCCCCCACTCTCCCTACCTCGATCCACTCTCCCTTGACCGTATCGAACGGCGCCTGATATTGCCGCTCGGCAGTGTTGTCCAGTTTCGTGTCTGGCTTGAGGCGGAACTTGTAACGGCTGCCGTCCCCGCGCACCCGAATCCGAATGCCATCATAACCTGTGGCGTCGAAGGGCATGTCCTGCCCCGCCAAGGAATGCCGGGGGTGGTTCGTGGATTGGGGTTCGGGATTAGTTCCGTTTCCGTGTGGGCTTAACATATGATTGGATTGGGCTAAGGTTACCAGGTATATCACTGGGTTCTCGCTCCAGTGTATGTCGGTTGGGCGGGACCATGGTCAACGTAGGCGATCGCCTTGCCTTGCTATAGCTCGATAATGGAATGGTTCGAATCTACGTTATGGCCGAGTTGACGACGACGACGACAACGACGACGACGACGACGACAACAACAACAACAACAACAACAACAAGGACAAGAACAAGAACAAGAACCACGTGTACCACCACCACCAACGCCACACCTCACCTTGATGACGGTGCCGCAGAAGCCACCCCCCTCCGTCACCAGGGTCCCCGCCCAGCGACCGAACGTCTTCCCAGACTGCCGCTCCAGAACACCCCCTCCCACCCCCTTCTGCCAGGCACTGGAACTCCTTCCTCCCATGATGACATCGTCCAGAGGCTGCCACGCACCTAGGGATCGATCGAGCGAACAAACGAAACGGAAACGATTGAAGAAAGAGTTTTTGCCCGAGGCGGGGGGTACTGCTGTGCTGTACGTTTCAAGACCGGCTCGTCATCAGCACGTCTCGGATGGCAAGATAAAAACCACAAAAAAAAAAGAAGGAACTCCATAAAAGGGTCAAAGAGGTGAGAGTACGTATGTGTGCAGTACTAAATATTTTCGTCTCTTCATATTAACTTTTGGGAAATGGACAAAAGTGGGTAAACCCACGCCATTCTCGGACAAAAGTGGGGAATCGAAAATCCAGCGCGCGCGCACCCCAAGGCAACCCCCAAACGACTCAAAACCCCATTCTGACACCTGGGCGACACAGCCAGGGTCCATACACAGCACGGGCATCGATTTTTTCCCACTTTCAGGCACACATTCGGCCCTAACACCGCAGAGGCGCGCAAGGCCTCACCAGAGTGCCCACTTCTGTCCGTCCATTTCCCTCAACTTTTTCAAAGCGGGAAGTGCGCCATTCAGACACTGCTGATGATCGTTAGGAAAATAGAGGGCTCATTTTCTATCTTCGGGTCCTACGACCGCACATGAGAGATTTCGGAGACACAACAAGCAGAACCGCTCCTGAGAACCCAAACAAATACAAACAGGGGGGTTGAATCTACATACGATCCGAAAAAGTTGGTAGATGACCCATTTTCTATCCTCGGTCGCACATTGGTAGATTTCGAAGATACAACACCCACAACAGATCCTCAGAACCCACACCAATACAAAAACAGGAGAGTTAATCCTAGAAAATATGAAGGGAGCTCCCATCGGCTTCTGCGGCAACTCGAAACTCACACCTCCTGGACCCCGCTCGTCGCTGCCGCTGTCTCCCGAAGCAACCAGGACTAGCTCCTCGTCATCCGGGGCTGCTGAGGAGCCATCCCCTTGCTCGAGAAACGCCTCTGCTGCCTCGATGGCGGACTGCACTCCCCGGAAGTCGACAGCCTCCGAGGAGCTGCCCTCCTCGCCGAATCGCGGTCCGAGGGCTGACACGACCTGTCAGTGAGTTTGTTGTTGTTGTTGTTGCTGTCTTCACATTTAAGACCGTTCCGATCTCTCTACCCAGCACTCTCCGTACGGATTCGGGGTGAAGATAATGGTTGGGAGGAGGAGGCCACAGATGGAATGAACCGGGGATACCATTACGATTCGGGTCGTATAAGTCCGGGTGGGGGGTCGCCAGTTTGGTGGCTTCGTGGAAATGGAAGGGTATTGGAGACAAGCGTCTTGTTTGCGGAGGGCGGCTGCGGAGTTCGTGACCATCTATGACGCCCAAGTTGCCACGTCACAGCGCACATTTACACAATCACATACACAGGGATGCGTAAAAAACAGGACGGAGGTATCATCACGCGGCACGCGACAGCCATTCTTCGTGCAGCCAGACTGTCGTCGCAGGACCCTTTGTCATAGCATCAGCGCTGAGAGAAAGAGCACTACCGTGGTACGCATCATCACATCGGGCACAGGTGATGAATCGAATGGACCAAAGTCCATGCCCGTTTTCAATGCTGCTCTCGGTGCGGTCTACAGTGCCCTCTCACTGCCATAGTGCAACAACCAAAAAATCAATACGGTCTCTTGCGGGTGCGCACACAACGATGACGCAAGAAGGAACCATGGTTCGAGATAGGGTTTCCCCCGTAAGCCAGCAGAATTCGCTTTCGACTCTCACAACTCCCTCAACACAAAGCAGTTTAATAGCCGTTAACCCTCCACTCAGACGACGGATGAAACAGCGCCATGGAACGTGCCACCCCGAAGGCAGAGGTCTAGACCATCTCACCCTTACACTCAGGGATCTGTAGCAACCACTCAATCCACACACGATAGCTTCCCCTGTTACCCACCTGCGTCACCCCCTCAAACAAGGCCTTGTTCTTCAGAGTCGCTTCGTCCCTCACGTCAACGCCGCTCTGAACGATGATCGGAACACGATCGAGAAAAAAGCAATGGGAGTTGTGGTTCGAATAAGGCAAGCAGAAAAAAAAGGTGCATTTACGGAGATGGAAGCCCGGAAGAATACCTGGGAAAGGGCACAAGAGAGAAGGAGAGACGGACGAGGGGGCACCGCAGAACCTAACTTGGAGAGAGACACGTCTTGCCAACGCGTAACCTAAAAACCGATACGACAGCCGTGCTCGTGCAAGAACCAACAATCCCGTGTCCGAAGCGGGTACGGACACGGGCGCACTTTCGTATATCCCCCGCTTCTTGATGCCAGGCCCACGCCACAGAGTCCACACGGTGGCAAGACCTCCGCTAATGGCGCTCCTCCAAACCTACGCGCGGTGCACAACCCGTCCTCTCAGGCGCCTTGCAAGCGTGTGCAACGCCCCGCTACAGTATCCTAGGGAATAGTGGAAATAGACTCCTGGGAAAAACTGCAGCACATCCCGTTCAACTGTAGCTGTGGTTATATCTCGAACGGGTAGTCTTTCTGTGAGATTACGTTGACTTTCAAAAAACTCGTGGGAGCACAACACTCATCATCCAGACGACTTCGGTTTGCCTGCCTGCACAAAGAGCCCCGGGGTGGACGCGTCATAAAGCTCCGCCGCGGACTCCTTGCTCCTCGAGGCAACAACCACGTCCCGCTTCTGTTTCAGGAGGGCTTCCACCACTTTCCGCCCGGTCTTGCCCGTGCCACCCAGCACCAGCACGGCGTCCGTGCAGCCTCGCCCACTCGGCGCCTTCTTCTCCTTGGCCACGGACGTGCTATGTACATGTTGTTAAGCATTCGAGGCGATGGTCATTGAACGAGATGGTAAGCGTCGGAGCGAAGAGACCGGGTGAAAATATGATGTTGCTGCCTGTACATAGATTCGACTGCTGTGGTTGTACCTCGAATGCGTTTGTAGTCTTTCTCGTGTTTGTATTTTGTTTTCCTGATAGATGCGGATGATCATTGCAGGAGTTTGCACACAAACCACCATACGGGATGGGCACTTTTCCTGTTCCCGAATATTCGTCTTGCCTCGAACGTGCTTCAAATAGCGAGAGGATCCTGGCTCCCGCTTTGGCGTAGGGTATGCGATAGAGATGAAGCACGGTACCGTAGTACCACCTACCGTATACGACGCAAGAGAACACACCCCCTGGACCGTTTTTTCAAAGCTCGATTTAGCAACAGCAGAAAGAGCGAGGGTGCCGAAAACGGCGGCGCTAAAGCCGTCTGTTCGAGAGCTCTCCGAAAACGTACGGTCTCGTTCATGTGTCCTCTTCCTCGTGGAGTAATCGAGCTTTGAACATCGGTCCAGGGATTCTCCTGACGGGAACCAAATCCGGAGCACAGAGGACTTGTGCGCACGAGACCGGATCAAAATACTAGGCAACTTGTATGGAGAAGCTACGATCCTGTTGTTCGCCACGGAATAGGACAGCAGCAGAGTCAAAGTATGTCACTGGTTGAATGTTCCTACTCTGCACCTCTGAGTTTGCTACCATTGCCTGCTCCCTCTGTGTGTCAGCGGATTGTCGGGCTGATGGCGAATAAGTGCTGCCGCTGCTGACGTTCATGATCTTTTTCAGCAGCAACGTCGAAACACAGATTTGGGGCGTACACACCCGTCACCAGAAGCATGATGCGTTCAATCCCCACCGACAACACACGAACCCAAAACAGCAACACTCGTCCTCACCCAGCCTTCTTCTTCACAACCGCCGCAGTTTGAGGCGTGAACGCTTGCTTGAACCAGCCGCCAAGGTCAAACCCACTACCGGTCGCCTCCATGCCCTGGCCGCCCCGAGTCGCGGTCCCGCGAGCCCCTCGTGGCAGCCCTCCCGGGCCGCTGGCGTGCAGCGCGCCCACGAGAGCGCTCGAAGTCAAGCCGACCGCGGCACTCACGGCGATGCACGGCTTGACGATCATGGCGACGTGCTGTGTTGTGGCGGGATTATTTTTATGATTGTCATGCATGAGCCACGCCAACGAAGTCACTCGGAGAGCCCGGTCAGCAAATGCGGTGGAACTCCCGCCTCACCAAAAAAGCCAGCTGGACATCATCCTAGTCGCTGAAGTCGCCGTGCATCCATCCTTCACGTCTGGCGCGCGGTGCCTTTGCGCGTGTGACACCGAAGGGTGGAGAGAGAGAGAGAGAGAGCGCGCGTCGCTCACTGGTGAGTGCGTTGTGTATCTTGCTCGAGCAAAGCGATGATCCATTTCGCTCGTCGTTTGATCCGAGGTCGTTGCTGGCTCCGCAAGCGGGACTGTTAGCTTGAGCTTTTCGTGGCAGCAAAAGCAGCAAGAGAGCAAGGAAGCCCTCCCTGGTTCTCATGTTTTCCCTCTCTCGTTTCGCTAGGGTTGGTCGATGCCGAAGGCTACCGGGTCACACCACATGGGTGCCGTGACTGTACTCATAGAACAGCACTGGGCAACAAGCGCCTGGCCCTCGTCCCCATTACAGTATGCCCGCACAAACGGAGGCAGCATTGCGCTGTAAACTTGCAAGGGTCCATTAGACCATCCTCACGCAGTGGCGAACAGGCGGCAACAAATGCAGCACAATCAGCACATACGTTGATTGCAGCCCTTCTTTGTGTTTCCCCCCCCCTTGACAAAGAAAGAAGACCGCATTGCCCACAATCGTTTTTCACTGGCCTCAGTATTGAGAAGCTTGAGGAATACCTTGTGGCCCTCGCAGGCAGCGAACAGGAAACCGATCGGCCTTTCTTTCTAAGGCACATGGGGAAGTTCCGAGGGCACCAGGATAAGAGCCGGAGGGGAAGGGAGAAGAAGCTCCTCAAGAAGAAAGCCGGGGCGGCTGCCGGGGGGATCCGCGCCGTGGCGGCACAAGCTGAGTCGGCCCTCCCCGGCGGCGACTCCCTGACCAGCAGCAGTCCTGGCCGTCTACGACAGCGGGGGGTAGTGGGCGCGAAGAGGAAGCTCAAGCACGTGACGTACGCCAAGGAACACTCGGTGCTTATCGTCGGAGACGGCGACTTCAGCTTCACGCGTGGCGTTATCCGACACCGGGGAACGGGGTGAGTCTAACCGAGCGCTCGCTATTTCAATATTAAACGTCTCTTGGAACATTTGCCGTACTACCATGTGCGGCGAAATACCAAAACGCAAAACGTCGGCGTCAACGCCGAAGGTCCCTTTCACCTACGAAGCGACCTGATCTAATGAAGCTAGGTTTGTGACTCCCCTCTTCCTTGATGGAACTCCAAACTCTTTGTGCAACTCTTTCAAACCTTTGAATTCGTTTCCGTTCATTGGTGCAGAGCTGGTGTCGTGGCGACTTCCCTGGATTCCGAGAAAGCTGTACTCAAGAAGTACCCGCGAGCAGAGACTTGGCTCCCCAAACTTGAAGCCGATGGAGCCCAGGTAAACAAAACCTGAGACGGGTTATGCTTTCTGGTACGGGAAACGTCGAGGGCGTGCGGCCGGCCGAAAATCTATAAGTGTATCCTTGATTGTCGTTTGCATCGACTCTGCTCTGGTGTGCTGCTGCGGTGGTGAACGCGGCGCAGGCGAAACCCAGATGAGGGGAAGACTCTGTCAGGCCTACTTAAACCGCAAATCTGACCGCACCATAGATAATCGCGGGGGGATATTTTCGTTTTTGAGGGACTGCCGACCCTTATAGCCAATACTTTCTGAGCGTCTGATATTGTCTTGTGCTCATCAGCCAGCATCTTGGCCGCGTCTTGTCTACCGTTACAACCCTTCCGTGATCAATAAAATGTGCCAGGTCGCACACTCAGTAGACGCTACCAGGCTAGAGGAAACCCTCCTAGGGGCCCGTGAAGGACGGGGAGATGACGGGGGTGGAGGCGGAGTCGCTGGAGAGAAGAAGCGAGTTTTGTTCGATCGCGTCGTCTTCAACTTCCCCCACACGGGCGCCCAGAGGACACACCTGAACCGTAACCTCATCCGAGACTTCTTCGCCAGCACCAAGTGAGTCGCCGCAGCGGCACCGAAGGGCCTTCGCAATCAACCACCCAGCGTTTTTATCGATGTTGGCCTTAAGCAGCAGATCGGTGATAGCCTTGAGCAGTTGATCGATGTTAACCTTGGCAGTAAATCGATGTTGGTCGTAGGAGAATAGCGGCCGGCCTAGGCTGCTTGCCTGAAAAAGTGTCCCGCCTGCCGTCGTTTGGCCACGGTGGGACAATAAAGCTTGGATATATAGGCCGTGGTTTTGGTTTCCCGCGAGGTGTATCACACGGCTCATACGGTATTCCGCGAGGGACGGGGTAGAAAGGATTCATCATCGATGTCTAACTCAGTTCGTAAGAATGCAGCAAGGGAGACGAGTGGGATTCCATGCTAGACCTATTCAGGTGGAGCCGAGAGAGGTTAAATGTGGGGGTGCGATGTGGAGTTATGTTTTCTTCTAACATGCTTGGTCTCCGAACATCTGTGCCAAACGAGCACGTGCGCAATACAGCGACAAAAGACCACGCTCTTGTTTCTTGGCGGGGAATGCCCTATCCTCTTACGACGGAGTCGTGTGAATTTCTGCCTGAGCCCCTCCCATCTCTCCTTCCGATTGTGAAAAGGGGATTGGTGAAGTGCGCGGCGGCCGGGGGAGAGGTGCACGTTACCCTCAAGGACAAGCCTCCATACTCGGGCTGGAACGTGAAGTAAGCCATCTCTTCGTTCTGTTGGTGTTTTTCCTGGCTTTGTTTGTTTGTCCTTGCTACGGTCCAGACAATCGTGGTCATTTCGTGTTGAATGTTGTTTTTTTGCTTGTTGATGTGGTTCTGTGGCTTTCTCGGTGCTTTGGACTTGCTTTTGCCCTTGAGTTTACTTCGTTTGGACAACCAATTAAACCTCGCAGCTGGATTCTTGTTATCCTCACGCGAAACGTTCCGCTTCTGTGTCCGCAGGGCAATGGCGAGGGAAAGCGAGCTGATCATGGTGAGGTGCCTTGCCTTCGACCCATCCGTGTTTCCCGGCTACCGCCACAGCACAACCGACCCTCAGGTAAACAAAACCTTTGAATTGTATTCTAGCTCACTCGTTGATTGACTGGATGTTTGTCAAGAAGCCCATGGAGCAGAGAAGGAAATTCTAGCCCCAGGCTAAACGACGCGCAGGAAATTTCGGCCTCGAGCGAAACGAAGTCGCTGAGCTTGCGGTCCTTGGGCTGCGGTGGATGTTTGGCCGATGTAGTCGTTAAGGAAGTTGTCAAGTCGGGGTGAATATCACGGAAGTTGTGAACCCCAAGTGGATACTACCCGTCGTCCACCGCCATGCTTCTATCTCAGTCAACCCTTGTTGTGTTATGTGTCCCTGTGCCCCTGCTTCTTTTCCACAGGCAAAGAAATTCGACGCGGGAGGGGCCAGGACGAACGTGTTCTGCCGGGCAAGATCCGAGCTTGACGACAACGTGAGCATCGTTGAAGTTCATTCATGTTTCCCCAACAGCCAATAATATTTGCGTTTAATGAACTGGAAGGAACACCCCCATTGTTTTATCTCGCCATCCCGCTGCCTTATTCACACATGCGCATTATTTTGCATGCTTTGTTTCACCCTTCCACATGAATTGCGAATCGGTCAGACCAGAACGGGTAGGTGACGATGTGTCTCCCGCTTGCATTCCGGCGGTACGTGGATGCTGAATGGGCTACTTGCGCTGTGATCCTTGCCGTGTGCTTGTGAATCAACCCGGGATACGAAGCTCTTGCTGCTGCGATTGGTCACAAGATCAGCTCGAGACGCGTCGGTTCACGATGCCTGATGGCTCAATTTGCAATGTTGCGCGTGGATTGACTGCTGTACCCAGGTGGATGAGTCAGGCACATTCCCGGTGATAGTGCGACGGGGGGGGGCAGCCTCCTCTGCTGAACCGGTTGCGACTGCCAACAACACCGGCGGCAGCAACAAATCCGACGACAACGTCGACGGTGATGACCACAGCGGTGAAGACGACAACGCTAGCGACAACAGTGACTTGTTCGGCGGGGGCGGCTGCGGGGGTGGGGACCCCGACGCCGGCCTGGGGTCTTGGGACTACGATCAAGGAAAAAGAGAAAAAACAACCGCCTCGGAGGGCGCGGGCGATGACGCCCACGGCAGCGGCGGTGTCGATCAGGCAGCCGCCGATGCTAACGGCAGGAAGAACCGAGCGAAGAAAAAGAAAACTGGTGAAAAAGGCGGTGGCGGCGGTGTTCCCAGTGGCGAGGAGGTCGAGGGGGTTGATGAGGGGAAGGGGGTGGCGTCGAATGGGGCATCGAAACGCGGCATGCTTCAGCCTCCGGTGCAGAAGAAGAAGGCCGCGAAGCGTAGGGCACAGCGCAAGCGAAAGGCCGCCGCTGCTAAAAAAGCAGCAGCCTCTACAGCCGCTGCGGCAGAAGGGGCACCGAGAGGAGAGGGTTTCCCACAGGACGACGGCGTGGTGCCTGCCAACAAGGCAAAGTCACCCAAGCGAAAGCGAGGGAAGTACGTTGTCAATTCGGCGAAGAAGCGGCCGAGAGATTGATTAACTAGTTTGCGGCTCCGAGAACCGGCAACTTGTTTTTGATTCACTGCTGTGGATCCTTGTAAGGGTATTTTGTTTTGTGATGTGATTGAAACACACAAACCCTTGCGATGCAAGCTGGGAAACAACAACTGTGCGAGCTGGGAAACGACTTGATGCCGTGCTTCGCGAGGAGGGGAACAATTCGCTATTGATTGTTGTAGTCGAGAAATGAGTTCGATGGATCGTTACTATGTGAAGGCCCTAGGCATGCATTGCCAATTGGTTGTTTATGCTTCTCGTTTGAGAGTGACAGAGAGCGATAGAGATGGCGGCATTTAGCCAAGTAGTAGCAATACAAGCCGCGTCGTCGATGCTGTTGTCACTGATGCTGTGGTAGCACCTCTCTCTCTCTCTCTCTCTCTCTCTCTCTCTCTCTCTCTCTCTCTCTCTCTCTCTCTTGTAGCGCCGCCGGCTGATTCCCGGGCTTGCCCCCCCAATGATTATTCATAAGAACGTCAGGCCTGTCTATCCCAGTCAGTTCTTATCGCTCTCACAGCAGTTGGTTGCAACGCGCGCTGTGCGGGCATTCGCCACGGAGAACCAACGCGGGGATGATGATCCATGGACTGGAAAACCGGTTTTGTTTGCCATGAGACATGATGGGCGTGCTTAGTGTGAATGTTATGAAGGTGAAGTCTTGGTAGACAGCTTCACTACGGAGGAGCTCACGAAACGTGACGTGGGCAAGTCCCTCCTGAGAAGTTCCTGTATTCCTCGATGCACCATGTGCTTGGGCCGTGGCTTGCTGCATGATCAATGGTGATCATATGTGACGTCGAAAGCTAAAGATGGACGTACAACCCGGCCTTTGCTACCGATCGTGGAGCTGCAGCAGTGTAAACCGCGCAGGTTGTGCAAGTAACAACCGGTGAAGAGGCAGGAGCAGGGGGGGTAGGGCCGCAATCTCTAGGGACTATTGTTTCGAAGGTGATATATACATGCTTTTCAATCGCATCTACGGTACGTCCAATCGACCGTCGCGAGCACAGCCATACTAGCCCACGGTCAGGACTTGCTTTCACCGAGGAATAAACATCCGGGGTCATCACACAGGATCAGTCGTCTCTGTGGCTCATGGCTTGGACGGTTTTGCGAGGATGAAATGGCAAAGCCGTTCTCCTCGTCGTTCATGATCGGGCTCAAAAGCAAAGCCCCTTCCCAGTTCTGCGCGTCCTCCCCTTCACGGAAGAGTGCAACTCGCGATACCCAAAATTTCACACCGCTGTTTGCTATTGCGTAAAGCTTCGTTCTACGATGATTCCTACTCAACCATCATTGATGAGGTGACTGAACCGTGCCACTTTACTCTAGCACGGCGCTGCCCGTTTGGTTTCGAAATGACCTAGATAGAAGCTCGGTTGAACTCGTCATAAACTCTTAACCCACAAACACGCGCTAGGAGAGTGCTCCAGGGGCCAGAAAAAAAAGTCACACATCACAACACATGCTAGATCCGGAAAACATATCATTACCACGGTAAGAAAGGTACCGACATATCTAACAAAGGCAGGAGGATCAGTCAAGCACAAACAACGCGCGCCTGCTTCGAGAGTCGAGAAACGAATGACAGCAAAGCGTACAAATAGGACCCAGGCTAGAACGATATTATACCACAACGTGCTCATAAAAAAGTGAAAAAACAGCCATAATCGCGCATGCCTCGAAGGATCCATCCAGGGCACGAAGTTCTAGTGATTAAACATTGAGAAAATAGAATGAGTCCGTCAGTCGAATCAAGGAACCGCAAGTCTCCGCTCAAGATGTGGTGTGAAATTCATGGCTGACGTCCAAATCATAAACCGATATAAAGACTTCACACGACGGGAGACGACAACCACGAAACGAAAGACTGGTCTACGGATCGATACCCGGCGAGTGAGTGAACTATAAATAACGTCATAGAGAGAGAGAATAGGTCCGCCCCCCTCGCCATGGGTCATGCCTACGCAAAACCTTGCCGAGGCAGCGAGGGGAAGAAAGGATGCAGTAGGCTGATCGATAATTCGGGTGTCTCGATTCTTTGTGGTTGGAGCTCAAAGCGGGTGGCTCATGGCGGAGCGTGGATGGGTAGAAACGTGTTGCAAAGTATAGTATAATCGGGGGCGTGCCAGTGCTCGTCAAACCATCACGGCATCTGGTCACGCCTTCACTCTTTGTCACTCAACGAATCTCTCTGAACCTTCACCAAATACCTCTCGCAACCAAGGAATATATGTAGAAATTTCCTATTCTTCCGCATCTCATCACTGTAACTTTCGTACGTACGTACATAACATCTCAACCGTCATACTATGCTACGAGTACCCCCAATATATCTAATAGNGAATGGCCTTCAAGAAATCTGCATGCTGAAATTGCGTCGGCACATGAGTAATTGAAATCTC